GTTTATTTATTCATTTGATGTGGTGCTTTCAGGTTGGAGAAATGTTAGTTGCGTATTGGTTGTTAAATATTAATCGAGAAATGCATAAATAATTTTATTTATACAATTGTAATTTGTAATATTCAAGGTATATAAACAATCACACATCAGTGTGGGGATCATATTGGCGTAACGGTGAATGGGGCTATGCGTGTTGTCACTCGAATGTGAAGAACTCGTACTGCATCGGGAAAGCTGGTATCGATACGGAACGGGAGTTGAGCAAGGCGTCTGAGGCGATTGTGGAAAAGAGCATCAGTGAGAACGAAAAACATGTTGTTGAAAGTAAGATTATTCAGTATTTTTTGTTGATGGTTACATTGTCTTTATTAATTCATTATTGGTATTATGATTGTTGTCATTATAGAAGGTGAGAGTGAAGCGGTGAAAAAAGAAAAGGAAAATGACAAGTCAAACAGCAGTGACAGTGACGAGTCGGGTTCAAGTTCGAGCTCAGAGTCAGCCGAAGAGGAGAGTGGGGATAAGGTCGACTCAGAGAAAGAAAGGCAATTGGAATACGAACGTGAACAAGAAATGGAGAAAAGTACGTGATCAGTTTGATTAGTATTGACATTGATAACAGTTTCGTTTATGTGTAAATATCTGAAATTATTGAGTTGTACAAAGCGGTTATCAGTTTTGATAACATTAAACTTAGGGGTTGTTTCATGCTTTTTTCTTGTTACCTGAATTCATAAGTGTAATGTTCAGGAAAAAGAGATGCGAAACGTCGTGAAAAGAAGCGAGAGAAGAGAAAAAGGCAGAAAGAACGTAAGCTTACAAAAGATAAGTCGTCAAAGAAATCAGATCAAAAACACAAAAAACGACGGGATGAATCTGAATCGGACAGCAGCAATTCATCAGAGGAGGAGGAGGATGAAAAAGTGAAGAAAAAAGAACTGAAGAAAGCAATTAAGAAAACGAAACGAGAATGGTTCGAGGCGGATAAGGAAATTGCTGAGGTGAGAAAGTTTATTTATTTATTTATTTATTTATTTGTCTACTCGATTATTTGTTTGTTCGGTTTTTTTATTAGTTGATTTATTTTTTTGTATAAACATGGACGAATACTGAAATATCGGTCTTTATAGTAGTGGAACTTTTCAATGGAATTTGAGCACTCTGGATTTGAGTTCAATAGTTTTTGCGTTGAGTAAACTTCGCTGTCAAAGAAAGAGTCTGAATTCAGTGGTTGTTAAATGTGGATGATTTAAATTGTTCGTAAATTTAAGGGTGATCGGAAACGTAAATACCACTCAAACTTCGAAGTTACACAGCCAACAGAAGCTGAAATGGAAGCATATCGCTTGACAACGATTCATTCCGCTGATCCGATGGCCTCGTACATGAATGAAAAACGTCGAAGAAAACACACTAAGAAATAAAACTCCCAGTTAATGTTTGTAAAGCGTCGGTAATTGTAAACTGACTATTAATAATTGTAAACTGGCTTTTTTTCGGTTTAACTTTAACTCCATCCACATTGGAGGATTTTCAGCTGACCACTTGATATCGATCTGTTCAACGTTGATTTGTATTTATTTCAATTGTTGAATTTTCTTTTTTTTGGAAGGATATTTTTCAAAAATTTTACTGTACGACACATGTTTTTCGTATAATATTCATATTGTGTACAGTTTTTATAAATGAATGTGTACCATAAAACTCTGTTGTAAAAATTGTAAGAGTATAAATTTTCACCGAAAACTGCATATTGCATCGAACAGATAGTTGTTATCTGAGAATTGTTTCATATTTTGAATTGTTTTGGTAGTTATAGAAGTGTTTTGATCTGACTTAAAATGTCACTTGCGATGGCTGAGCATTCCTTCTGTTTAAATACTGTGTATACCATAATAAAACATTTGAGTATATGAATTTCGACATGATTGCCCCTTTACGATACAATATCAGATCATTAGCAGTATTTTGGTTGAAAAGCGCAAATCCATTCGCAGCACTGATTGATTTACTAAAATTAAACCAAGTGTAAAAATTAAATAAGAGTTTGTCAGTTGTTGGTATGCTTATTGCACTTTTTTGTTGTCCAATCTTCATAGGTAAGGCCATAATTTATGTTCATTTTTAATGAAGTTATCGGTGATCATTTGGCAGATTCGAATGTTATAATCGGTTAATATTCTCGAATTCAAAGAGATCACTGGAAAATTTTGGCTTCGTAATGGTTGATCGTAAGTATTCGGAGTTTTCAATTCTTTCAATTTACCTTTTGGAGTGCCTCGAAAATGGCGAAATGCGCATGGTCCTTTCGTCACAATAAGTTCAGTCTTAATTTCGAAAAAAAAAATTTGTCGAATTTAGCTCTCAAGAATTTATCGAATTTAACAAAAATTGCAAAACTTTGCGCCAGCCGGGAGTCGAACCCGGATCTGTACCGTGGGAGGGTACAATGATACCGCTACACCACTGGCGCATCGAGCATGGTACTTTCCACTTCGTTCATAGTCGAGAATTGAGAAAGTGCAAATTTTTGACATGTAAATCTTTCAATCTCACTAGACGGAAACTGGAAGGAAAATAAAGTAATTGTGAAACGCTAAAAGAAACACTGCGAAGGAGCAGCTCTATTTGTGATATTTTGGTTGTGAAGAATCTGAAATGAACAGAATAAGCTGCACAATTATCGAATAATCAATTGAAATTGGATTCTCATTTTTTAATTCATAGCGAAAATATTCACCGCTCGTCACCATTATGCATATGTTTTTGATCAGCTGAAACTTCTTCTGATCACTGAAACGATTGAATATCGTAATCATTGGATAATGATATTTTGAAGTGATCACACAATTATGGCTATGGGATCGAGATATAAGTGAATATCTGGCTGTTGAATGTGCGATTGACGAGAACAGCGATACGAGAAGATACTTCATTTACTTAGAGTGGTTCATTCACGGCATTCCTTGGTTAATAACGAGGTAGGATTCGATTGAATTGAATTGAACATTCGTGAATCGAATTTTGATTTTTCCATCAAAGATTTCAAATGTAAAAGATGAACGTGCAATCGTTCAGTTGAAATCAGATAAACCAAAATACGCGGATGAGATTTTCCTCCGCTTGAAATACACAACAACCATCCAATGTGCTCAATCATCTCATCACAATATGTTCAGCCTTAATTTCGAAAAATGGCTAACAACTCTCAAAAATTTATCGTATTTAACAAAAATTGCAAAACTTTGCGCCAGCCGGGAGTCGAACCCGGATCTGTACCGTGGGAGGGTACAATGATACCGCTACACCACTGGCGCATCGAGACAAGCATTTTCTACTTCGTTCACGATCGAGATGGAGAAAGTGAAAATTCTTGACATGAAAATTCTCAATCTCGGTCTAAGGAATGTTTTTTGCAAGTAGAATGGGAATAAAATAATTGTGAAATGCTAAAAGAAACACTGTGAAGGAGCAGCTTTATTTGTGATCTTTTGGTTATAAAGAATCTGAGATAAGCTGTAAAGTTATTGAATGATCAGTTGATATTGGATTCTCCTTTTCCAATTCATAGCGAATATATCCAGCGTACATCACCATGCATTTCGGAAATTAGCAAGCAACTCTCAAAAATTTATCGAATTTAACAAAAATTGCAAAACTTTGCGCCAGCCGGGAGTCGAACCCGGATCTGTACCGTGGGAGGGTACAATGATACCGCTACACCACTGGCGCATCGAGCGATGCACTTTCTACTCCGTTCACGATCGAGAATGAGAAAGTGAAAATTCTTGACATGAAAATTCTCAATCTCGGTCTAAGGAATGTTTTTTGCAACTTGAATGGGAATGAAATAATTGTGAAATGCCAAAAGAAGGAACTGATCTACTTGCGATATTTTGGTTATAAAGAATCTGAAATTAACCAAATAAGCTGCAAAGTTATTGAATAATCAATTGAAATTGGATTCTCCTTTCTCAATTCATAGCGAAATCATTCAGCTTACATCACCATGCATTTCGAAAGTTAGTAAGCATCTGTCAAAAATTTATCGTATTTAACAAAAATTGCAAAATTTTGCGCCAGCCGGGAGTCGAACCCGGATCTGTACCGTGGGAGGGTACAATGATACCGCTACACCACTGGCGCATCGAGCGAGGCACTTGGTACTACGTCCACGTTCGAGAATGAGAAAGTGAAAATTCGTGTCATAAAAATTTTTGAATCTCATTGGATGAAAACTGGAATGGGAATAAAATAACTATGAAAAGCTGAAAGAAATACTTTGAAGAAACAGCTGTATTTGTGATGTTTTGGTTGAACGACAAAAATAGATAACGGTCAGATAAAAATAGTTCTGTATCTAATGGAAATTTTAAAACAGTTTTCAGTTCATTATCATTCATTGTTTTGATGCGACAAAACGCCGATCCCGAAATTACGTATGATGTCGGTGTGATTTTATTTGGTGAGTTTAAAAGAATACTTTTAGACGATGTACACTCAAAATTTTCCACTTTGTAAACGCCTGACTAGTTTATGAAATGATTTCTCACAAAATTCCGGTTCTGATTGAAACAATAAATTTAGTCGCTCGGTGATCAAACTCTTCAACGATACACTTTTAGATCAGTTATTGAACATTTATTAGTTTTACTGATTAGAAGAGTGAATGAGGTTTCGTGATAGCTAATTAGATTCGGTTGATGATCAGCTGAACGTATCAAGTTTTATTCACTAGTTCAATTCAGGTATTTGCATTGATCTCATAGCTGTTGGCATAATCAAATGTGCAGTTCGCAGAGAGCGTCCTCATTATAATAAGAACGACCAGGTTAACGTTACCATCATTATTTATATTGTTATTATTGGGTTTTCGTTGGCTAATCTCGAATACTTTAGGTTTATGAGGCACCAATCGCTGACCAATACTCATTCCCGTCTGGACATTCGTCCAGAAGTGCGATGCTCTCTGTTTTCGGGTATTGTCATTTCAGCATGCATTCATTGATAATGTAACACAGTTTATTTTATCATTTCATTCCCCAATGAGTAACTCTTATTATGTGTTGAAGTCGTCATATGGAACGTTTGATACGTTGTGAAAACATTTCGTTGAAACTTTAACATTCGTAGAATATCAAAAGAATTTGAATTTACATCGATGCTCTTTCTGGATCCATTTTGGTCTTTGCAGACTAACACTATTCTCACC